AGGTTAGTCCTAAAAATCATATAAAATAGCACATAAATGCATATAAAACATCTACAATGGATAATATAATAGCATGAATACTTCATAAATTATAGATACGTTGAAGACGTATCAACGATCCAACTATATTAACAAAGCTTGTGGTACATCAAGATTGTGCCAAATCAAGAACACACACACACACACACACACACACACAGAGAGAGAGAGAGATCAAACACATAACTACTAGTACATAAACTCAACCCTGAGGGTGAACTACTCCCTCCTCGTCATGGTGGCCGCTGGGATGATGAAGATGGCCTCCAGTGATGATTTCCTCCTCCAGCAGGGTGCCGAAATAGGGCTCCAGATGGTATTTCAAAGGTACAGAGGCGTGCGGTGGCGGAGTCGAAGTTCTAGGGTTATTTCTGGGGGTTTCCTCTATTTATAGGATTTTTGGCGTCAGTCTGACGCTAAGATGGGCTTCGAGGGGCCCACTACCCACCAGGGCGCGCCCTAGGCCCCCTGGTGTGCCCTAGTTCCTAGTGGCCACTTCTTTCACCTTCTGGTCCTCCGACGAAGCTTCTAGTGCCTCTTTTGTTTCAAAAAATTGTCAAAAAGTTCGTTGCATTTGGAGAACTTTTATTGTGTACAAAAAACAACACGACGGTAGTTCTGCTGAAAACAGTGTCAGTCCGGGTTAGTTCCATTCAAATCATACCAAAACCATATATAGTTGTTGTAAACATGGCATGAACACTTCATAAATTATAGATACATTTGAGACGTATCAGCATCCCCAAGCTTAATTTCTGCTCATCCTCGAGTAGGTAAATAATAAAAGAAATAATCTATGAAGTGTGAATGCTAGCATAGTGCATAAGTTTGATCAGTGATAATTTCAACCACTTTTTCTAGCATCATTATATATCATAAAAAGTAGCTCATCTCATAAAACTTCTCATGATCAAGTAGCAATCTATTTACATGTTAAAGTATAGAGCATAAACTTTCTTGAAAACTAACAAACTATGTTCTCAGTCATCAAACAATTAAAATTCATCTTATTTTCAGTAAGGGTCTATGTAAGAGCTTTGATTTAGCAAATTCCGCATACTCAACTATCATATAGTCTTTCATGATTTCTGACACTCAGAGCATATTTTTAGAACAAATAACATCCATCAAACGCAGAGAAAGATAGTGGCTTAATGTTTCGCTCCCCAACTTATTTATCATAGAGATAATTGTCAACAATAATAACTCATGATCATCTATATTCAACTGGTTATATGTGTCTGGATCTTTCCCCACCACATGATGCTTGCAAAGAGAAAAAATAAAAACGGAATAGAGAAGAACACTATTGTCTCTTGCATAAAATTAAATACATAAAGTAAAAGATAGGCCCTTCGCAGAGGGAAGCAGAGGTTATCATGTGCTTTTTATTTTTGGATGTGCAAGCTCTTAATACAAAGGAACGCCACGTTATATTGCCCCTTGTGAGAGCAACCTTTATTATGCGGTCCGTCGCTTTTATTTCTTTATCATCACAAGTTCATACAATGCTTATTTTCCCTTATAATAAAAGATCATACATGTTTAGGAGCAATTTTTGTTGCTTTTTGCACCGATGACAAGTTACTTGAAGGATCTTATTCAATCAGAGGGTAGATATAGTGGACTCTTATGGCAAGAAACTGGGTTTAAGGGTTTTTGGATGCACAAGTAGTATCTCTACTTGGTACGAAATTTTGGCTAGCAAAAGATTATGAGCAAGCACCACATGTTAGAGGAGCCATGACAATATAACTTCTATGTGAATAAAACAAACATAACTCATTATGTTGCCTTCCTTGTCCAACATCAACTACTTGATCAAGTTTGAAAATAATTAATGGGGGCTCAATCATAGAAGATGTCTAAGATATTATATTCATATGTGAAATCTCTCTTCCCTCGATATTCTTTCATGAATTGTTCAAGTGAACAATGTTGTGTTTGTTAACTTTCAATAAATTGTACCACCTATACTTCTTATACGTGAAGTCATTACTCCCCATAGGACAAGCATATGAAACATATATTATTTGAGATTGATATTCAATTCATTCAACAATTTATTCTTAGGATATAAGTGAAGCACAAGAGTAAATGACAAAATACTCCAGAAAGATATAAGTGAAGATCAAATGAGTAGTTAAACGATTAAGTAGTTATGTGAGGACTCTCTCCAAATAAAGATTTCATATAAAAGTATTTTATTGAAATAGCAAGCAAAATGAAAATAAAAGGACACACCAAGGATAGCACATATCATGTGAAGAAGCAAAAACTTAGACTCAACCAAAACTGGCTGATAGTTGTTGATGAAGAAAGGTGGGATGCCTATCAAAGCATTCCCAAGCTTAAATGCTTGAGGCTTATTGAAATATTATATTGGGATGCCTTGGGCACCCCAAGCTTGAGCTCTTGTATATTCTTCATTACTTTCATATCATGGTTTCCCTAATTCTTAAAAACTTCATCCACAGAAAACTCAACAAGAACTCGTGAGATAAGTTAGTGTAAATCAAGACAAAGCATTATCATTCCCTACTGTACAAATCACTAAAATTATAATTTAACATTGCATACTAAATGCCTCTGCATATTTAATACTCCTATCCTCAAATAGAATCATTAAACAAGCAAACATATGCAAACAATGCACTCATAACAACAATCTATCTAAAAAGGACAGTCTGTAAAGGATGAAGAAGGATCCATACTTATTTAACTCAAATAGTTCTGAAAATTACCACACTATATAAAATTTACCATATCTAATTGTGTCAAAATTTCAACATTTTATCACACTCTAATTTTTTTAGAGAATTCACGCAATAGCATGCAACTTTCTGTTTTGAAATAGCAACTCAAATACTTGCAAAATAAGCATGGTGAAGGCTATCCTTGACACTTTCATTGTAATAACAGAAACAAAACATTATTCTAAATAACAGCAAGCAAATCTCGACAAAAGAAAATGACACTCCAAACAAAACACATAACATGTGAGGAATAAAATATAGCTCCAAGTGAGGTTACCGATAATGTTGAAGATGAAAGAGGGAATGCCTTCTAGGGCATCCCAAAGCTTAGTTGCTTAGATATTTCTTGAATATTACCTTGGGGTGCCTTGGTAATCGCCAATATAGGGTCTTGTCACTCCTTATTCTTCTCATATCGACATGTCACCCAAAACTTGAAAACTTCAATCACACAAAACTTAACGGAACTTCGTGAGATAGGTTAGTATGATAAAGAGCAAACCATTCACTTGGGTACTGTCAAATACAAGATTCATAATTGTTCCACATAATTCCTACCGTACCTTACAATATTTGGCTTAGAAATCCATTGTACTCATTATCTCAATTCTCACATTTTGCTATTCCTACATTTTGAGTTCTCGCGCTTCAAATAGAGCCTATGTATATATGTGGAAAATGTAAAGAGAATTTTAGTTTCCCCATCAGTTTGTATGGTCCAAAAATGTTTTCTAGGGCTACTAGTCTGGTCAATTCCATCTTGCGCCAGTCTTAGTCGCCTTTGTGCAAATCGAAACCAATCCAACACGAGAGTGAAATGGGCCGGCAATCTCTTCAAATGCAAAGCGCGTTAACTACCAGCCCTTTTGGGAGAGGTCCCATTGGACGCTCGCGGGCGTCTAACAGTAGAGCTCTCGCCGAAAAGCTCGGGCAAATAGGCCGGCACATAACCAGGCAACGAGCGATAGTAAAAATGACTCGAAAAAGAAATGCGCACACAACAGTGTCAAACACACGACCTCATGCTTAGTAGCGGAGACACCAATCACCTGACCTAGCTCTTTAGTATGGCACAATTGCAGCACAAATCTTAAAGTACAATGTACAATAATAAATCTGTTTTTTTCCTTCAAAATTTCCAACAGTTCTTGCAAACAAATGTGAACGATTTTCCTTAAATATATTTGAAAATCGTGAATAAATATCGAAATTCAAACAAAATTTTAAAACCTGAACAACTATTGAAAACATGGACAAGAATTTGAAATTCCAAAACGTTTATTGCTTTGTTATACACATTATTTTCTGTAAAATATATATTGAACATTTTTATATATACGCTGAACAATTTCTAAATAAAAATTGAACATTTTTTTGATATATTCTGAACAATACTTAAATACATGTTGAACAATTTCTAAAATGTATATTGAACATTTTTGTACTATGTGCTGAACAATTTTTAAATACACATTTAACATTTTGTGATATGCGTTGAACAATATTTAAATTTACATTGAACAGTTCGGTATAAAAATGTTTTTTGGAATTCATATCTTTGTTCTAATGATAGAACAAAAATTTGAAAAGAGAACGAAGTAAAAACAAAATAAAAGAAACAAAAAGGGAAACAGAAAACAAAAAGAAAGAGAAACAGAAAAAACAACGATGCGTACCTGGGCCGGCCCAACTCGGAGCGCCTTCAGCGAAGCCCCGACGAGATCCTCCCGAGCGTCAATAGGATCCACCCTGAAGGCCGGCCCATCTTTATACCGCTAAGACGGGAGCTGGGCTTGCTGGGCCGCCATCGCCGTTCCACCCGCTCCTCTCCGAGCGACGCCGCCGCCGCGGCCGCCCTTCACCCTCCTCACATCCTTCCTCCTCTCCCGTGCGCCTCAGCTTGTTCTTCTCCGTGGCAGCCACAGCGGCAAAGGCGAGGGCGGCGCGAGGAACCTCCCCACGGCAAGAGTCGCCTCCTCTCCCTCCCCGCGACCACCGTCGCCACTCCACGCGCGTGAGCTAGCAGTGCCTGCGGCGTCCTAGGGCTCACTAGGGTTTATCCCTGGTTTTGGCCCGTAGCTCCGGCGATTCCCTACGACTCTCCGTTGTCGACGCGGCTCACCGTCCCGCCTGCACGACAACGTCGACTTGACATCCCCCACGCGGGTCTCGGAGAGCACTGAAATCAGCGTAATGGGCGAGGTAATGGCCGCACGGAGCAGAGGCGGCGCTAATGGGGAGGACGGCGAGCCGGTTGCACGTTGGCGAGCGGAGGAGGCTGTCGCCGGGAACCGAATGGCCCTTCAAGCCCTCCGGGAGCTCGTGATTTACCCATTCCTCTACGCCCGCCAGTCCCGCCTGCTCGGGCTTAAGGTGCTACCTCCTGTCCCCTTCTCTTCACCCCCCACCAATTTCATCGTCTGACGGGTCTTCTTTAACCAACTTGTGATCCTTGTGCTGTGTGTGCTTGCGTTTGCAGTGGCCCAGAGGATTGCTGCTCTACGGCCCCCCTGGCACCGGAAAGGTACTGCATTAGCATTGGCATGTCTTGATCGTTCTACAAATGTTGACCAGTGTGCTTCTTAGGATTGATTCTTGTTCTTTTTGTCAGACAAGCCTGGTTCAAGCCATCGTTCGAGAATGCAGTGCCTACCTGACAATGATCAAGTACTACCTCAGCTTGATGGCATCCATACCTACAATTTTAGTCTTAATCTGCCAAATAGTACTGTTTGTTTCTCAGTGTGTATTTGGGCATCATCATTAAGTGCTCTAATCTGCATGTCTTGACAGTACGTATTCTGTGCATAAAGCTCATGCTGGAGAGGGTGAGAAATTCTTGCGTGAAGCTTTCTCTGAAGCATACTCTCAGGCGTCACAAGGCAGACCGGCCATTATTTTCATCGATGAACTGGATGCTATATGTCCACGGCGTAACAGTAGGTATGTTTATCATGTTATCATTTTTGGTGCTTGCCCAAATCTGTTTTTCTCATTGTGCTTCTCACAGGAGAGAGCAAGAATCCCGCATTGTTGGTCAGCTACTAACTCTGATGGATGGAAATAAGAAATCGTCGAAGAAACTTCCTCACGTAGTTGTTGTTGCATCAACTAACAGGTTAGAAACGCCAGTTGGAGGATTGTAATTGCTGCTTTAACTGCCATGCTTAAAACCTCTCCAATAGGACACTGGTTGTAGTCTATATAATCTCATGAGAAGTAGTTCTACTGAAACAAATATCTTGTCTCGTAATGTGTAGGGTGGATGCCATCGATCCAGCCTTGAGAAGGCCAGGACGTTTTGACTCAGAGATAGAGGTCACTGTTCCTACGGTAGAAGAAAGGCTGCAGATTCTTAAGGTAGCATAAACTTACTATTTGGGTCAATATTGATTTCTTCTTATCTATCTCTGTGATGACTTCTACATTGCATTCTGCTTATTACTCCGGTTGTATGGTTAAATCTGCAAAGTGCTATGCTTTTGGATACACGCCCTAGGATGCCTGCATAAAACTGAGGTCACTTGCCACTGCTTGATATTTTTTGTACCAAGTCTAAAATGTTTGTAACATAACGCTGCAAAACCTGCATTGTCTGAATCCATTAACTGATATGACGAATTTGCTTGAAGTCTAATAGGCCTTATTTTTGTAGCTTTATTCCAAAAATCTGCATCTTGATAAAAATGTTGATCTTCAAATTATCGCTGGATGGTGCAATGGTTATGTTGGTGCTGATCTAGAAGCTCTGTGTCGAGAAGCTGCCAGACTTGCTTATCGTAGATTGTCAAACTCATCCGAGGATGGGAAGGTGCTCACACTACTCATGGAAGATTGGGAGTCTGCGAGATCTCAGATCAAAGCAAGCATGATAAGAGGGGTAACTAAAGAAGCTCCAACTGTTTCATGGGATGATATAGGAGGTTTGAAAGATCTAAAGGTGAGATATGTTTTGCTTTAGGCTTTATTATATACGGATCCCTGTATCATATAATACAAACATGTTGTGATGACGATTGTCCCTATGCTGCAGAAAAAGCTTCAGCAAGCTGTTGAGTGGCCCATCAAGCATGCCACTGCCTTTGCAAGACTGGGGATATCACCAGTTCGTGGTGTGCTTTTGCATGGTCCTCCAGGGTGCTCCAAGACTACCCTTGCCAAGGCTGCAGCACATGCCGCCCAAGCTTCTTTCTTTTCTTTGAGGTTTGTCATAGAACGATCGATTACCGTGTACATTGTTTGAATCAAATCACGAGTCTATACATTTCTAATCAAGCTGAGTCCAACTAATCCCAGATATAGAGGACGGAAAAAACATGAAGTTTTTCTGCGCACAAAAACATGAAAAAAATCACTTTGTATGAGTGTATGACATCAAGCTGGTTTATTAATGCGAGTATTTGCTCGTTTAGTTGTAGTATGTTTGCTATCCTGCAGTGTGCGCAAGCTTAAACTAATGAATAGAAAAGCTCCGCGTAGCCATCTTCTGTTCAAGATGTACACCTCATCGAAGGTCATCTAGGTTTTGAAATATTTTGTTGACCAGTGGTGCAGAACTATACTCGAAATATGTTGGAGAAGGTGAAGCTTTGTTGCGAAGAACATTTCAGAGGGCACGGCTGTCTTCTCCAAGCATCATATTCTTTGATGAGGCTGATGCAATCGCCCCTAAAAGGTATGAGATCCACGTGTCTTAAGTATCGAACATAAAACTTAAGATCTACATTATGTGATGTGCAATATTAGTAAAAGAGAACTTGTATAGAACTCTTATGAGAATTGATATATACTTTTCTATCCTTTTGCAACTATCTGATGAAGAAACTTGCATCTGATATGGTGCATATCAATGAAGAAACTTGTTGTATTTTGTGTGTATCTCACAGGTGGATTTAAAAAATTAGGAATTAAGAGTGTTAACATATGTTCTTAGAAACTGTTCCTGAATTTTGTTTTATCAGGACCAGAACCGAGATTGATGTGAACTTCAGTTGTGCACTTGTGAATCTTTTCTTTTTTGCAACCGAGTACTGTCCGTCCGTCGAGATGCTAGTTTTGCAACGAAATAACTTAGGTTGGCACTTGTGTGATCTTGCAGAACTGGTCCTAGTGGGGACAGTGGCAATGCCACAGTAGGAGAAAGACTTCTATCAACTTTGTTGACTGAAATGGATGGTTTAGAACTGGCTACGGTACATCTTAGCTTGCTGATAGTTTTCAACTTTTATTCTACTGAATCCCTACTTCTCTTTGTCTTAAAAGGCTATCTTCATATATGTTGTAGGGGATTATTGTTTTGGCTGCTACTAATCGTCCCAAGGCAATCGATGCAGCTCTTCTCCGTCCAGGGCGTTTTGATATGGTACCCACCTGTCTCTGCGTCCCTCTCTAGCATGCACATCTGCAGCCACCATAACTTTCTTGAACTGCAGGTGTTGTATGTTCCACCGCCAGATGCGCAAGGCAGGCATGAGATACTACGCATCCATACACGGAAGATGAAGTTGGGGGAGGATGTGGACCTTGGGGAGATAGCGGAGCGCACCGAGCTGTTCACCGGTGCTGATCTCGAAGGCCTGTGCAGGGAAGCAGGAATGGCGGCACTGAGGGAAGACCTGTCAGCCAGTTCAATACACAAGGCCCATTTCGAGGCCGCGATAAGGTCGCTAAGGCCATCACTGACAAAAACAGAAGTTGACGAGTAAGCAGCTGCCGCCATCCATGGCCCATCAGCTAGGAAAAATTAGAATATGATATAACGATTGAGCTTTTGTTCAAGTTCGTGTTACACAAGCATTTTAGATCAGTTAAGCCTTGGATAACGCAATCACTGGGTGATTAAATGATATATTTGTGCGGCTTTTTTTTATAAAATATGATAATTCAAGCGACTCTGGTTGTGTTTGCCCACTGCTATTTTTCTCTACAACCGTCTAAACATGATGGCCTTGGTTATATTGACAAACTGATAATGAAATACTCCCTCTATAAAGAAATATAAGAGCGTTTAGATCACTATCTTATGTTTCTTTACGGAGGGAGTAGCTTGTTACAGAATTACACTATCTTTGCTGAGGAATAACAAAACATGTTAAGAACAGGAACTTTATGTGCATTGAATCATCAGCACCAGGAGAGCAGAATGACCTATTTAAGTGTCAAGTATTCGACATGACGACTTTTGCAACTGTTCAACACATGGGTTTCCAGTTTTGGGAGCACCTCTCCTATACATCTCCATCCCTGTAGACTAAGAATGCACTGGTCTTGCAGTAGGTCGATGCTAGCTCCTTCCCTTCAGAGGTTGGTGGCGTGAAAGCACATTGTGAGATCCCCAACATGCCGCCTTCACAGAAGCTTTTCCTGTAGGAGATCAACGGACGCGACGTCGTCAGGGCAGGGGAGGCAAGCTCAATAAACCAGTGATCTATCTTTGCAGGGTGATACCAGTTACAGCTAGTCTAGCAAGAATGCCTGCAATCTTGTGGAAATTTGACACATCATGCTATCATGTCCCCTTGTTAAGGAGAAGAGCGCATGTTCGACAGTGATGAGTTTACAAGGCATGAGAAAGCTGCGAGCAAAGGGCTTGGAGACGTACCGTGCAGCGTCCACAAGCTGCGACGCTATTCCCTTTCTTCTGCGCGATGGCACCACCCAGATTGCCCGGAATCCGCAGAGCGCGGGCACAGCTTCTTCTTCGCAGACTATGGCACCAGGGCCCTGGCACTCTTCTTTACTCTTGTCGGGGTGATTATGCCGTCGTAGGACTTCCCTCTTGAAGCTTATTTTCCCAAACTCCAATGTATGGTTTGCCTGTGCTGATTCAGTCTTATTGTCCGGCAAATTGCTTCGGTTTTCCGATGCAGAGCTTGGAATAACTTTGTGTGCTGCTTTTATCGGTTCGGCAACTAGACACCCCGCTATCCTCCCGCCAGATACAAACAGATACACCTATGCAACAGAGATGTTCTTTCTTCCGTAACACAAAACATATTGCATTTATGCTGTTATATCTTATATACACTGGAATGAGACTGTAACTTACCTTGCAGAGCTTATGAAGGAGCTGGCCTTCACCAAACCCCAGCTCCTTCTCCACCACTTTGATCACCTCCTGAACCTGACATATGTACATGACGTTACATGGTTTGCATCCTAAATCTGTTCAATTTGCATCTACATTTCGATTGTCAAAACGCGGATTGGTTGTCAAGTGGTTTACAGTCTGAACAGACGACATACAGATTACAGCTATCAGTGAATTTACAGTCTGCATTTCTTCAGGAAGTCATGGATCTGACATAACAAAGTGAGTTTGGCAAAATTTACCTTGCTGTTGCGTATACATGAGTTTTCACCGCTTGCTAGAATTATCCGGTCACCGCCCTCGGACCTCATAACCACGGTTTCCTCGCGCCAACCCTGCATTTCGTCGGTCAGAAACTCTCCAGTCATAGAAACACAAGAAACAAGGGCAATGGCACCGCAATTCACAAAAGAACAAGCGGGGCCTCATGAACCTTGAACGGGACGCCCTCGAGGCAGCCCTTGTGGTAGGCCCTGTGGACCTTCTCGTCCTCGTCGTTGCCGCGGGCGTACATCATGCCGCAGGCCGCGCACATGTGGAGGAGGAAATCAGGCTGCCCCAGCTCCAGGTGGAACTGCCCGTAGTTCCTCTTCTTATTGAGGACCTTGCCGTCGCCGCAGCTCTTGGGCCTCTTCGCCTCCGCCGCTTCGCTGCCCAAAACAATCGACACGGATCAGTCCAAGGGTGAATCTGGAAGGCACCAATTCGGTGTAGAATACTTCCAAGATGCATCAATTGTGAGGCTAGGCTCGGAACAGGCGAGATTTGGTACGAGCAGTGATCGGCTTCAAGCGGGGAAGGAGAAGAAGAACCTGTTCGAATCCGGCCCCGTGGCCTGGCGCTTGAAGAACGTGTTGATCTTGGGGTGCATCTCCTCGCGCTCTCCCCCTTCTTGTTTCCTGCAGGAGTTGGGGGGGAAGAGGCGACGGCGGCCGCCGGAGACGAGGAAGACGGGGTGGGGTGGGGTGGGGAGAGCGATTGGTGGGGACTGGCAGGGGGCAAGCGGGCGAATGGACGGTGCTGATGAGGGGATGACGCCGCGAGGGGAGGAGATCGGACGGGGAAGGCCGTCGCGCGGGTTTCTGAGATGAAGATAAGGGATTCGGGCGCCAAAACAACCGCCGAAAATGAGTCATCTCCATACTTCGTCTTCACCTCTCAAATTTTGCTTCCAAATCAAGTAGCAACCCTCAAATTACACTACCACGTGAGATCCACCAATGAGTGTGGTTTTTTCTATCTCTCTCCATCCCGCGTCATCATTTTACTGTCAATTCACAAATTCGGTGAAGTGGTAGAGCCATTCCAAACGAGGACGGAGGCGGCCCGAGGCATGAGATGACGACACCAGAGCGGAGACAGGTGATGGGATGATGCGGTGACGATGAGGGGCTTCCAGAGCTCGTGGACAGACGTGATGACAAGGAGGGTGGAGGGCACCGCGGAGGAGCCGAGGAGGCCGCTTATGACGGTGCAGAGCTGGGGCAAGTCGGCATGAAGCTGGGGATGGTGTGCTGACGCGTGGCACGAGCTTCAGCCCAAGCTCGTGCTAGGGTTTTATTGGTGGCTCTACGCGGTGCGACTTGACGGATGAGTTCAACGAGGGGTCGAGTAGGTGCGCAGGAGGCCGAAGGAGACACAGTTGCCATCATGCATGGATAGAAGCCCCCTGGCGGGGTGTTTATGAGGGGGGGGGGGATGTTCTTAGGCTTCGCTTGGGAGCTATGGAAACATTCACTTCTATAAGAACTTGTCACCGGTATTTTACCGAGAATGAATAAAAAACTTAAATCCAAGGGACAATTGTTGATGAGTTGGATGCACTAACTCGGGGAGTGAATCAGTGTGAGCGCTGACAATGCGTACCCCCGGGTATAGCCACGAAGGACAGACTGGGACCGTCAACCATAAGGTGTCCCGTGCCCACGGCTCATAATCCACCAGCTATACAAAAGGGAGTCGTCAACTTGGAGTACAAGACAAATATTCTGCATATTTGGTAGTAGGACTAGCAATATCCAACTAGGACTACCCCCCTTACGGACTTGGTTACCTTGTAACTCTAGCCCCATACACCTATACAAGACGAGGCAGGACCCCGATCGTGAAGGAAATATGCCCTAGAGGCAATAATAAAGTTATTATTTATTTCCTTATTTCATGATAAATGTTTATTATTCATGCTAGAATTGTATTAACCGGAAACATAATATATGTGTGAATACATAGACAAACATAGTGTCACTAGTATGCCTCTACTTGACTAGCTCGTGAATCAAAGATGGTTAAGTTTCCTAGCCATAGACATGAGTTGTCATTTGATTAACGGGATCATATCATTAGGAGAATGATGTGATTGACATGACCCATTCCGTTAGCCTAGCACTTGATCATTTAGTATGTTGCTATTGCTTTCTTCATGACTTATACATGTTCCTGTAACTATGAGATTATGCAACTCCCGTTTACCGGAGGAACACTTTGGGTGCTACCAAACGTCACAATGTAATTGGGTGATTATAAAGGAGTACTACAGGTGTCTCCAAAGGTACATGTTGGGTTGGCGTATTTCGAGATTAGGTTTTGTCACTCCGATTGTCGGAGAGGTATCTCTGGGCCCTCTCGGTAATGCACATCACTATAAGCCTTGCAAGCAATGTAACTAATGAGTTAGTTATGGAATGATGCATTACGTAACGAGTAAAGAGACTTGCCAGTAACGAGATTGAACTAGGTATTGGATACCGACGATCGAATCTCGGGCAAGTAACATACCGATGACAAAGGGAACAACGTATGTTGTTATGCGGTTTGACCGATAAAGATCTTCGTAGAATATGTGGGAGCCAATATGAGCATCCAGGTTCCGCTATTGGTTATTGACCGAGAATAGTTCTAGGTCATGTCTACATTGTTCTCGAACCCGTAGGGTCCGCACGCTTAAGGTTTCGATGACAGTTATATTATGAGTTTATGAGTTTTGATGTACCGAAGGAGTTCGAAGTCCCGGATGAGATCGGGGACATGACAAGGAGTCTCGAAATGGTCGAGACGTAAAGATCGATATATTGGACGACTATATTCGGACTTCGGAAAGGTTCCGAGTGATTTGGGTATTTTTCGGAGTACCGGAGAGTTACGAGAATTCGCCGGGGAGTATATGGGCCTTATTGGGCCATACGGGAATAGAGGAGAGAGGCCAAAAGGAAGGAGGCCTGCGCCCCCCTTCTGGTCCGAATTGGACAAGGGAGGCAGCCCACTTTTCCTTCTCCCTCTCCTCCTCTTTCCTTCTCCAACAAGGAAAGGAGGAGTCCTACTTCCGGTGGGAGTAGGACTCCCCCCTTGGTGCGCCTCCTCCATAGGCCGGCCGCCTCCCCCCTTGCTCCTATATATACGGGGGCAGGGGGCACCCCAAAGAGACAACAACAATTGATCCTTGAGATCTATTAGCCGTGTGCGGTGCCCCCCTTCACCATAGTCCTCCTCGATAATATTGTAGCGGTGCTTAGGCGAAGCCCTGCGACGGTAGAACATCAAGATCGTCACCACGCCGTCGTGCTGACGGAACTCATCCCCAAGACTTTGCTGGATCGGAGTCCGGGGATTGTCATCGAGCTGAACTTGTGCTGAACTCGGAGGTGCCGTACGTTCGGTGCTTGGATCGGTCGGATCGTGAAGACGTACGACTACATCAACCGCGTTGTCATAACGCTTCCGCTTTCGGTGTACAAGGGTATGTAGATTACACTCTCCCCTCTCGTTGCTATGCATCACCATGATCTTGCGTGTGCGTAGGAAATTTTTGAAATTACTACGTTCCCCAACAGTGGCATCCGAGCCAGGTTTTATGCGTAGATGTCATATGCACGAGTAGAACACAAGTGAGTTGTGGACGATACAAGTCATACTGGTTACCAGCATGTCATACTTTGGTTCAGCGGTATTGTGAGATGAAGCGGCCCGGACCGACATTACGCGTACGCTTACGCGAGACTGGTTTCACCGTTACAAGCACTCGTGCTTAAAGGTGACTGGCGGGTGTCTGTTTCTCCAACTTTAGTTGAACCGAGTGTGGCTACGCCCGGTCCTTGAGAAGGTTAAAACAACACTAACTTGATGAACTATCATTGTGGTTTTGATGCGTAGGTAAGAACGGTTCTTGCTCTGCCCGTAGCAGCCACGTAAAATTTGCAACAACAAAGTAGAGGACGTCTAACTTGTTTTTGCAGGGCATGTTGTGATGTGATATGGTCAAGACGTGATGAGATATAAGTTGTTGTATGAGATGGTCATGTTTTGTTGAAATTATCGGCAACTGGCAGAAGCCCTATGGTTGTCTCTTTGTTGCATAAGATGCAAGTGCCAAATAATTGCTTTACTTTATCGCTATACGATAGCAATAGTTGCAAGAGCAATAGTTGACGAGACGACCATGTGACGACACATTGATATAGATCAAGATGATGAAGATCACGGTGTCGTGCCGGTAACGATAGAGATCATGACAGTACTTTGGAGATGGAGATCACAAGCACAAGATGATGATGGCCATATCATATCACTTATATTGATTGCATGTGATGTTTATCTTTTATGCATCTTATTTTGCTTAGTTTGACGGTAGCATTTTAAGATGATCTCTCACTAAATTACCAAGAAGTGTTCTCCCTGATTATGCACCGTTGCGAAAGTTCTTCGTGCTGAGACACCACGTGATGATCGGGTGTGATAGGCTCTACGTTCAAATACAACGGGTGCAAAACAGTTGCACACGCGGAATACTCAGGTTAAACTTGACGAGCCTAGCATATAACAGATATGGCCTCGGAACACGGAGACCGAAAGGTCGAGCATGAATCATATAGTAGATATGATCAACATATTGATGTTCACTGTTGAAACTACTCCATCTCACGTGACGATCGGACATGGTGTAGTTGATATGGATCACGTAATCACTTAGAGGATTAGAGGTATGTCTATATAAGTGGGAGTTCTTAAGTAATATGATTAATTGAACTTTAATTTATCATGAACTTAGTCCTGGTAGTATTTTGAAAATTATGTTGTAGATCAATAGCTTGCATTGTTGCTTTCATATGTTTATTTTGATATGTTCCTAAAGAAAATTGTGTTGAAAGATGTTGGTAGCAATGATGCGGATTGGATTCGTGATCTGAGGTTTATCCTCATTGCTGCACAGAAGAATTATGTCCTTAATGCACCGCTAGGTGACAGACCTATTGCAGGAGCAGATGCAGACGTTATGAACGTTTGGCTAGCTCAATATGATGACTACTTGATAGTTTAGTGCACCATGCTTAACGGCTTAGAATCGGGACTTCAAAGACGTTTTGAACGTCATGGACCATATGAGATGTTCCAGGAGTTGAAGTTAATATTTCCAGCAAATACCCGAGTTGAGAGATATGAAGTCTCCAACAAAGTTCTATAGCTAAAAGATGGAGGAGAATCGCTGAACTAGTGAGCATGTGCTCAGATTGTCTGGGTACTACAATCGCTTGAATCAAGTGGGAGTTAATCTTCCAGATAAGATAGTGATTGACATAATTCTCTAGTCACCATCAACTTCGTGATGAACTATAGTATGCAAGGGATGACGAAAACGATTCCCGAGCTCTTCGTGATGTTGAAATCGACGAAGGTAGAAATCAAGAAAGAGCATCAAGTGTTGATGGTTGACAAGATCACTAGTTTCAAGAAAAGGGCAAAGGGAAAGAAAGGGGAACTTCAAGTAGACTGACAAGCAAGTTGTCACTCCCACGAAGAAGCCCAAAGTTGAACCAAAGCCTGAAACTGAGTGCTTACACTGCAAAGGAAATGGTCACTTGAAACGGAAATACCCTGAAT